GTGCTAGGCGTCCCAGGGGTCCCATGCCAGCCTCTCTCAGGCTGGTTATAGCAGCAAGCCCGTCTGAATCTGCAGGTCTGATTTACTGCACTGCAGTTGGGAGGGCCGCAGAATGGGGACATGTTTTGGTAAGCAATGCCTGCAAGCTGACATTCCAAAGTTGGTCAGATGGACAAATGGTTTTGGAGATGAACATCAAAAGTGGGGCACCAGAGAATCCATTTTTCTCTTTGAGGGCATGGCAGTTTGCGTGTGACCGTTTCACAAGTACTTCTGGGTCCTATCATTATCTTAAATATGATCCTGGTGCCCTCCAACCCTGCCTGGGGGCCGTTGAGGCCTGATCAGCCTCCCCGCCTTCCCCCAGGCTCACTTGCTGCTGTGTACATCTTGGAAATCTGTGCAAAAGAGGACTATGGAGAAGAACAAAACAATCAGCAAACATTTACCCCTTGGGTAACACCTGCAGAGGGGCCTCGTATACAACGTAGGCGCCTTTGCACACCATGATGAGTGTCCCCTTTCTTGGGACTCCTTAATTGCTTCTTGGGGCAGAAGGTGGCTTTCAGGAAGTCTTGCAGATGATCTCCACCCCATCACCGGTCTAACTTGAGTCAGGTGGCTCTCCTTGCAGGAAACATGTGGAGAGTGGGGGCTCACAAGATGGCAGGAGAGGCTGCATCCCTGGGCTTACAGCCATGCTCCAGGCTCTTGGGAGCTCCCTATGACCCCCATTTTTTGAGGCAAATGTGTTTGCTGGACTTGGCTTTTGCTGCTTTTTCTTTTGTACATGACTTAACCTCCATTTTCTCAATCTCTAGCCTGACAATCTCCCCAGTGTGCATCCTGCCCACTGTCTTTTGCAAATGCCTCTAGAGCCTCTCTCTTTTCTTCTGCCCTTGATTCCCATACATGGAAAAACAAAAAGAGTGGAAGAGTTGAGAATTCAGATAAAACATACCAGAGGGAAGAACTGACCACAGTTTCTGGAACAGCAAAATAATAATAATAATAACGAGACCAGTAAGAATCATAAAGGCAGGGGCTGCCATTTGTGGGGCCCCGTGGATACCAGCCATTGCCCCAGGCAAGGAGAGCCCAGACACCTTAATTCTTCCCAATAAATCCCTGTCCCGCAGAGAGGTCACATAGCTAGACAATGGCAGAGCTGAAATGGGAATCCTGAGTCTCAGGAGCTGGGTGAGGCCAATTGCACCCCCCAGTCCCACCTCAATCACAGCGGCTTGGAAACCAGAATTCATG